TTATATAGACAGCAACAGTGAAGTAGGAGTTTCTCTTTCTCCATATCCTCTCCAGCACTTGTTGTTGGAGGTCTTTTTAATGTAATCCATCTTGATGGCTGTGATGATCTTTCATTGGGATATTGATCTCATATCCTTTATTAAAAGCAATACTAAACCCTTTTCCATGTGTCTGTTGGCCCTCTACATATCTTCTTTGGAACATTATCTGTTCTTACCTGCTGCCCATTTATTAACTGAGTTTTTGTTTTTAATTGTTAAAATGAATAAGATTTTGAATATTAATCCCTTATTGGCTGTGTAATATGTGAATATTTTCTTCCACTCCATAGTAACTCCCCTCCTTTAGGCCTTCTCAGCAAAAAATCTCATACAGCTTCATGCTGGCCTCAACCTCTAGGCTGTTCTTGAGACATATTAGTAGCACTGGGAGAGAACTACAGTTGAAACAGGACCACAAGTTGGGGATTCTGTGTCTTTTGAGCAGGGAGCATAACTCTGGTATTCCTTGTGCTATTGTGTTGTGGGTGATAAGCTCTGGTTCCAGAGCATTTCAGTTACTGTCTCAGTGTTGACCCTGGGTTAGGGTAAGGCAGGTGATTCGCCTACCACAGCTTGGGGCTGCAAATAATAGCTTCTTCCATGAAGTGATACAGGTGATTCCATGTTTCTCCCCAGCTGGTTAAGGCTTTTAATTATTCTAGTTTAGGACCCTCAAGCTCAAGCCAGTAATCATTACTCTGCAACATTATGAGTCTCTAAAGTCCTCATTGTGGCTGGCTGCCCCTGAGTCAATTGCAGAGAAATTCTGCAGAGCTGCCACTTTTCCCTCTTGTGAGTTGTGACCCCTCATCCCCACCTCCACCCCCAGTTTCCTGAATAGCTCTCACACGGATCAGTTAGTTGTTTACTGCTGCTTTCCACCACGCCACTTTTTCTGAAGTGTGTGATGGTCATCAGTTTCTCTTCTCAGAGTGTTTCTCATTTGTGCTCTTATAACTTGGTTGTGAATATGCAGAGGAAGCAAGCCCTACATCTTCACTCTACTTTCATCTTGTTGGACTCTTGGGGAGCTTGTTAAGCATGTGTAGCCAAGCCCTCATTTCTAAAGAATATGATTCAATATGTGTAGGACAGAGATCCAGCTGAATTTTAAAGAATCACCCCAAGTGGTGCAGAAGATACATTTCAAGAAAAACTGAGAATGAATAGGAATGAACACAACTGTTCAAATTGAGATTTTGCTTCTTAGTTAGCTACATAGACTTGCATAAATTCTTCTATCTTCTTAAATCTTGGTGTCTCATATGTGAAATGGGTGAATCTTGTTCATTCACCAGGGAAGTTATGCGGTTATTTAATATATTACTATATTTAATATGTTAAAGTGCTTCACACAGTGCCAGGCATGGGGCATTGAATGCTCTAATATTGGGGGGTTCCTTCAAAATGCCAGACATGGAAGCTGGACAGATAAGAAAACACAGTTGTTCATAGACGAATAAAATGGAAATGAAGCAAGTGGGCTCTGTGAATCTATAAAATATTGATTAAGATTTGGAGAAAGAATTCTCCAAAGATCATGTTGAGGCTCTCTTGGTAATGTAGGGGTTAAGCCCTATCACTGCTAAGGCCTGAGTTCACTCCAGGCCAGTGAGCTGACACACATGGGACAGTAGACCTCTCCTGTTTCCTTGCTGCTCCCCACAGCAGTGTATTTTAGTAAATCTGCCTGTTCTCTGGTGCATCCTCTTTTCTCCCACACACACACTCGCTCACACACACACATGCATGCATGCATGCACCTGTGGCCTACACCCCACTTCTTCTACACAAAAATAACTGAGGGAAAAACCCAGCAAACAAAGATCATGGTGAAGTGACTGATTTCTTACTGGTGCTCTTAGGTCAAGTACATTCATAACTAATTTCTAACTCATTATGACTGTCTAGAATGAAAACTCTTTGTTCTGAATGTTTTAATGTGTTTTATTGTATTGAAATAAATTGTTTAATCTGTTGAATCAAAGACTATCTTTTTTTTTTTTAACCATCCCAGACATTAACTTTCCACCCACTGTAAGGTGACAAGATAATGTCCTTTCATGAAAATAATTATTAAGCACTTTACAAGAGACTAAATGAAGCCATATTAACACAAGACAGCAAAGTCAGTTTTATTCAGTAACAGGGTAGGAAAATGAGTTTAGAAATAAAACATTATTACTGTAAAGACAGGTTTTTATTCAACGATTTAGGAAAGAACATATAAGTAGAGGTTAACTTGAATTTTTCTTATTGTCTTAATGACAATATAATCTCTTAAATAGTTCCAAGATCTCTTCTTCTTTCTGTAGGATGTTCTTTCCAAGTTGACATGTTTCTAATGTACGCTTAAAATTAGTGTCTTGGCATTCATTTTTTATTTCCATGCTAGTCCTGATGATCTGTCAGTGGAGTTTTCAAAAGGGAATTTATCACATCTATTAAACAAAGCTTAAGAACAGACTGTCCTAATGGGATTTTCATGTATGTATCATTTAGTGTAGGATTCCCTGAGGACAACAGTCACTGTTAATTAAAACATCTTGAAGTCTGTTAACCACAGTTACTTCTTGTGAGATGTGCAGTGAAGGGCTTTGAATTATCACTCACAAACAAGGAAGACAGAGAAAACTTTTCCTTTTCTTTATATTTATTTTATTTTTATTTATTTATTTATTTATTTATTTGCTTTCATGCACAGGTTACTTTAAAGCAGATAATTCTTCCTATTACCAAAAATTAACACAGTTCATTCTGTAGAGAACACTTTATTGATATAATTCTAATTTGTTAGAATTATATCAATAATATAAAAATGAGGCTTCCTTATTGTGTGGTGCCATATAGCCTGCTTGTCTAGGGAGGGAGGTGCTTTTTTCCATCCCCCTAAAGTGATTGCCAAGTGTGCAGATGGTGGGTTGGTTCTGTGTTCCAGTGTGCATGTAGAATATGTGCATATGATGTAAACAAGAATTTCATCTTGAACTAGTTAAAACTTTCAATATTTCCTTCTAGGTTGGAAATCGGGGGACAATAAGAGATTACCCAGGCTTTAGCCCATCGGTGGATGCTGAAGCAATTCGTAAGGCAATTAGAGGAATTGGTGAGTCATGCTTTACAATCCCCTTCTTAATGTTGAAGCAGATCAGGAAAGTTATGAGCTAAAAGAGCATCAGCTCAAGTTTGCTTACCCACAGAAATCATGAAGAACTTTGTTACTCAAGTAGAGAAATTATGAGGGACTTTTCAAATTTGTGATAAAAGATTTGTGATATGAGGAAAAGTATCGAAAGCCACTGTTATTAATATTAAATTCTTAATATCTGTCCTGTTTCAAATCAAACATACAATCACTATCACTGCTACCAACAACAATAATAATCATTGCAGATACAGCCCTTGTTTACTCCTGGATTTTGTTCCAAACCTATTCCGTGGAAATCGACACCATTCTAAATGAGAATTCATTCCCATGAAATATTTAATTCTGTAACATACATGCATATATACTGTTCTGCATGATCACAAACAGTGTGAAATGAATTCATACTATTTACATTCTTCTGTAACTAGCTTTTACTTTTTGACATTATGTTTTGAGATTTACCTATGCTGATAGGTTTAGCTCTAGTTCATTAACTTTAACTGCACAGTAGTCTGCATCACTATATTAGAAGTTGAGAATATTGATGGAATCTTTACATTGTCTGTAATTCTTTTCTATTACAACATTAAAATGCTGCTTGAATAGTCCTGCTTATGTTTCATTATTTGCACTTGCTAGTATTTCTCTAGAACAGGACAATGGGGATTTCTAAGTTGAAGGAAATGTTTATGTTCAAATTAACTGGAAATTTTGCACACTGCTCTCCACAATGAAAATGTAAGTTAGCAGCCTACCAACAATACATAAAACTTCTTCCTGGGCCCTCCCTGGTGGCACAGTGGGTTAGGACGCAGCACTGCAAGCTGGCCACAGCTTCACTTCCATGTTCTGCCTGTTCTGCTCCCCACTCTGTCTCTGGTGAATCCTCTCACCGTCCCTGCACCTCTGGCTTGTACCCCCGTTCTATATGCATAAATAAATAAATCTTTAAAAAAAAAAAAAAGACTTCTTCCTGCTCCATGTCTCCTCAGCCCTTGCTCAGGTCCCACGATCCAGTTTTCACATGAGTCTAAAATTAGTTCTTTTCCTGCTTGCATGTTTATTTCTCCTACCTCACCCTGCTTGACTGATATGTGTAAACATCCTTATTTGCTTCCTTCTCATACTCTTTTATCCATTTTTCAGTTGGGTTCTTCTTCATGATTCACAAGATTTTTAAAATAAATTCTGGACGTAAAACTTAGTCCAGACAACCTATGAAACTATCTTCTCCCAGGCGTGGTTTCGTTTAAACCTTGGTAATAATAAGTTTTATTACAGAGGAGTGTTACATTTTCATGAAGTCACATTTACCATTGTTTTTCTTTATGGTTTATATTTTTTGTGACAAATTTAAAAAGATATTTCCTTGCATTTTGTGTACAAAGTTCCACAATCTTATATTGGGATCTTCAATCTACCTGGAATTAATGTTTGTGTGTCATATGTCCAGGCTGTTATTTTATCTCATGTGGCTCGGTAATTGTCCCATCCCAATTTATTAGTGTTCATCCTTGCCACAGTGACTTGTGTGGGTTTGTAGCGCTGCCTCTGTCTCATGCGTCCCTGTTTTTCTACTGTTACGTTCCATCGGATTGGTTGCTGCTCCATCTTTATGCCATATTGTCCCAGTTGCAATAATAATTTTGCAATGACACATAGTGCTGAGTAGGGCAAGGGCTTTTCTTGGCTTATTGCCTCCTTTAATGAGTTTTAGGATCAGCTTGTCAAGTTCCATGAAATATTCTATTGGGGTTTTATATCTTTTGTATTATCTTACTTTTGCCTATTTGTAGTTTATATTTTTTCCCACTTAAAAGTGAAATAGGTTTCATTTATCTTTTTCATTTCCCTGTTTATGCTTAGTGCTGGGCAGTCGTTTCCATGAGGCTGATGTCAAATTAAATACGTTAATGGTTTTTACCTCCCGTTGCTTTCTTCTTTTTTAACAGTATGTTTTTCATGAATATTTGCATTTTGGTCTGCAAGCTCATGTTCAGAAGAAGATTTTTGTTTGTGAGTACTACTCCCCAGCATATTCTCAATTCAGGACCAAATTTCATAATAGTATTTGCTTGAGGACTAGGTCAGAGCCAGTCTGGGAAACAAGAAGCCATTCCTGGTCTTGAGCATTTGCAAAAATAAAGAGATGAGAGTTTACGTGATATAAACTTCACGTAACTATGGATAGTTAGTTATATCTGAAATCTAGGGGCAGAGAGTAGAGACAGAGTGACAGGGCAGAACCCTAGGACAGAGACATGAGGCAAGAACAGACCCTGATGAACTGGTATACAAGCCAGGGAGCTGAGACTGCGCCCTGAGAATTACAAAAAACCATAGGATATCAATCAAGGGACCGACTTTATATATATTAGATGTATCTTTTAAACATTGTTCTTAAGCAGTAATATATGGAATGAGTGATAAAGAAGTCAAGTTAGGAGGCTATTAAAGGGTTTTTTTGTTTGTTTTGTAAAGATTCATTTATTTATGCATACAAGAACTGCAATACAGGCCAGAGGTGTGGGGGAGTGAGAGGATTCACCAGAGACAGTGGAGAGCAGAGCCAGCAGATCTACTGAAATACACTGCTGAGAGGAGCAGCAGGAAACAGGAGAGGTCTGCTGTGCCACGTGGGTCAGCAACCTGGCTAGGGATGAAACTCATGCTGCAGTGGTGGTGGTCAAAAGCCCACAAATCACCCCACAGCTCCCCAATCCTGGTGTAATTCTGTACTGCTAAGGAGGCCAAAACAATTTCCTGTGCTGTCTTATACTATAAATTGCCAAGAAATAGTGGTATTTAGATCATTCTCAGGCAATCAAGCATCGACTGGGCCTGATCATAACCTTTATTTACAACCTTTATTTACAACTACAACACATAATTAACGATGTGACTTTGCAACCAGAAAGGGAAATATAAGTTTTGTAGTCATAAAATTGCTTTCAATTATTTGCTGTGGGTCCTCCTTGGTGGTGTAATGGGTTAGGATGCAGCACTGCAAGCTAGCGCAGCTGCTTCAGCATGAGTTCCATCCCCAGCCAGGGAGGTGACCCACATGGTGCAGCAGGCCTCTCCTGACTGACTTCATCAGTCATCCTGTTCTGCTCCCCACTTGTCTCTGGTGAAGCCTCTCACTGCCCCTGCACCTCTGGCTTGTGTCCCAGTTCTATATGAATAAATAAATAAATCTTAAAAAATAATATTAACTGCAATGTTTAAATTCTATGTGCCTTTGAGCAGCACATCTTTCTGCCTGTGACTACCAGTCCCTTTCAGGGGCAGCTTTTTCTGCCCAATGTGTGTGTGTGTGTAAGGGTTCTATGTTCTCTCCCTTTTTGTACTGAACCTGCCCATTGGACAAAAAAAAAAAAGGCATTGTGACTAAAGCAGCTTTAGCTTCTTAGTGCTGGGCTTTAACCCACTGCACCACTAGGGAGGGCCCTACATTATTATTTTTAAAAAGATGGTAATAGTGGTGAACTTACTAAGAATGAGGAAACAGACCAGATCAGTATGCCCTGTGTGCTACTCCCCCTTTTGAGCAACAGGCAGAACTACAGAGCAATGTTCTATGATTTGAGCAATGATTACTGTTTTTCCCCAAATAAAGTTAATGTTGTTTTTGAAAAGCCAGGCAAAGAAATACAGATTCCAACCTGATAAGAACCTGAAAATTAAAATGTCTTTCTTTTTGCATTTATTTCAGACCATTAATCATTTTACAGTTGTTATGGCAGCTATTAAGCATTTTGAGTAAAATTACTTTTGCTTCATTTAGGAACTGACGAGAAAACTCTCATCCAGATTCTGACTGAGAGGTCGAGTGCACAAAGGCAGCTGATTGTGAAGGAATATCAAGCAGCATATGAAAAGGTATGATACAATTAACATAACCGAGTAAAGAGCTAGTCACCAGGAGAGCACCCCTGGCCCAAATGTTATGCCCACAGATTTTTTGTGTCCAGTCAAATGTAACACAAGGTATTGATACCATAATTTCAGATTTTCAAGCCTAGTCTCACAGCCAGGAATGGATCCCAGGCTGCAGGGCCAGTGCTGAGTCCCAGCCACTGGGCCACCGCGGATTGGTGTCTCAGGAAGGCTTATAATGGAATCACAGGCCTTCCCTGGTGGCGTAACGGGTTAAAGCACAGCACTGCAAGTACTGGGCAGCTCAGGTATAAGTTCAATCCCTGCCCTGGAGGTGACCCATATGGTGCAGCAGACCTCTCCTGACCCGCATGCTGCTCCCCTCAGCAGTGTACTTCATGATCTGCCTGTTCTGCTCCCCGCTCTGTCTCTAGTGAATCCTCTCACCGCCCTTGACCTCTGACCTATACCCCAGTTCTGTATGCATAAAAAAAAATCTATTTTTAAAAAAAGATTATTTAAAAAAGGAATCATAGAGATTTTAGAGAAATAAGCAGAGAGAAGTAAACTTCCTTTAAGAAAGAAAAAATTTAAAAAAAAGAAAGAAAGAAAGAAAAATTTATTTAAAGGAAGAAGTAAGGTCTCCTGAGTTCCACTGTACTTGGGAGGGGCAAGGAAGCCTTTGTGGGTCTAGGGGTGTCTAGGGGTATTTAACCCTTTTTGAAAACCTTATTTTAGAGTTCACCTCCCCTGTCCAAAGTTTATTTTCTCAAGTTGTACTGTTTCTATTTAAACCTTCTGGACTTTCTGAGTTCATCTCTGGAGTGTGTTTCAGTTAGGACTTTCTAGAATTTACTGTCTTTACCTCAGAAGCCTGTTTAACTCTCCTGAAGTCTCTACCTGTGCTGTTAAGTTGCTACTTAAACTTCACTTGCTCTGGGTCTCAGCATCGTGTGTCTAGTCAGCAGCCTGAAATGGGAGCTTTGATTTTACCCTTAACCTGCCCAGCTGAATGTCCTTTGATCTTTCTGCACCTAAGATTGACTTGAATTGAGTTTCTTCGGTGAATACAAAGGGTTGCTTAAGGGAAGGGTTCTAAACCAGGAGTGACATTGCTCCCCTGGGGACATTTTGATTTTGGTAACTGATGGGAGAGAGAGGATATTTCTGACAACTGGTAGGTAAAGATCAGAGAAGCTACTAGACATTTTTCAATGCTGAAGACAGGCTCACGCAACAGAGCTGATTATTTGATAAACCTTAGACATGATCTTGAATTTCTTATCCAAGTTTAAAATGCTTTTGAATTGTAGGCTAAATTCATGTGACAAATGAAAATTTATTAAGAGTCAGAAACTAGGTCCCTCCCTGGTGGTGCAGGATGTTAAAGCACAGCACTGAGTAGCTAAAGCCACTTCAGCATGAGTTCGATCCCAGCCCTGGAGGACACCCACATAGCATGGCAGACTTCTCCTGACCTGCCTGCTGCTCCCCTCAACAGTGTACTTAGTTATCCTGTTCTGCTCCCCACTCTGTTTCTGGTGAATCTTTAGCCACCACTCCTGCACCTCTGGCCCATACCCCAGCTCTGTATGCATAAATAAATCTTTAAAAAAAAAAAAAAAAGAATGAGAACTATACAAAAACTAACTGGACAGTTTTTGGTTGGGTGCTACTCTGTCAAGGAATCCTACACCTTGGAGATGCAGGTGTCACTTCTTTCCTAGAGCTAACATTCTAGTAAAAACTAGTAAATTAGTAAATAAGATAAATCCAGCTATTGGTAAGTGCTGTGGGATGAAGTGATAAAGCATGACTAATGACTAATAAGCCTCCTTTGGGTCAGGTGGTGAATTGATGCCCGTTAAGGGTTGTTCTCTATAGTCAACTAAGACTCAGCAGTACTACGAAGACTGACCTACTTGGACTGTGGAAAGCTTTCATCCAGAAGGTAGAGCAAAATGCAAAAGCCCTGGGACAGAAACAAGCAGGAATATGTAACAGAGAAAGTTCCAACAAGACAAGAGTATTGAGTGAAGGAGGCAAAGAAAGAGATGGGTGAGAGGGAAGCTTATAACACAAAAGTCCTGTCAGAGTTTAATAGGAAAATGTTAGAGGTTTATAAACAGGGGGATAAAATGAGCTATTTCATAATTTTAAAATAACATTTTAGTTGTTGTGGCTAATGAACTGTGGAGGGGAAAAAGCTGCAACAGACACCAGTGATTTTGGGTCCAAGTGAAAACTGTGTGTCTGGCCAGCCAAAGGGAACTCAGGCGTCACCCCCCTGGCAGTGTTCTCCAAGCCTCCTCCAAACTCTATTAAGACACCCTTTTCAGCTACTTGAGCTTCCCCCTTTATCAGATAGTTAATAAATGATACGAGGCCCTCCCTGGTGGCGCAGCGGGTTAAAGCACAGCACTAAGAAGCTTAAGCCACTTCCGCATGAGTTCAATTCCCACCTGCCCCAGAGGAGATCCACATGGCATGGCAGACCTCTCCTGACCCACTGGCTGCTCCCCTCAGCAGTGTACTCCGTCGATCTGCCTGTTCTGCTCCCCACTCTGTCTCTGGTGAATCCTCTCACCTTCCGCATCTCTGGTCTGTACCCCAGTTCTGTACAAATAAATAAATAAATCTTTTAAAAAAATGATATGAAACGTTCTCTTTGAAAATTTCCAGGTTTTCCATGATGTCGTAGTATCGTAGGGTGGTGTCTAACTCAACTTTAATTGTCTAGTACAGGGCAGGTGCCCCATAAACACTTACCAAGTTAAATGAAGCTTCTGGGCAAGACGACACACTCGCGTATAGAAGACGTGAATAATCCACTTACCTTTCAGAACTTCCAAAATAAGAATGGGGGTGAAGGAAGTAAACCGTCTCTAACAGTGGAATAGAATGAGTATGTGAAATAAGATTCAGTTAGAACACCTTGGGTTAAAGTCAGATGGTAAGTGGAATTTAGCATTTAGAGCAGAAACTGGTGGTGGTTAAAGTAGAGACAGTGATATTGGCTCCATCCTCTTTGTTATGGTGGAGTGTGACCCTGCTGTACCACCCAGTGGCTTGGTACATATTGGCCTGTGCCCACATTGTCTCAGCAGTCTGGGAGGCTCCAGCCTCTGTTTCAGAGCTGAAAATAATTGAGAGCAAAGAAAACAAATGTTCAATAACAAACTGTTGAATATTGAAAATAGGGACCCTGTTACCTATCCTTGCAAGGGACATGGATTAGATATACATGAAGTATGAATACAGTGCCAAAGGCACTATCCTTGAGTATTGTCTGCCACATTCAGGGATTTCTCTGCTGTTATTGCCAGAAACTCAGCTTCATACTCTTAAATGGCAAATAACCCAGTACTATCTGCCCTTCCCTTTCCTTCCGGGACTCATGGCTGTCACCAAGAAGCAAGGTGGGAACACCTTCATACCCATCAAAACTGGGTATGAATATAGTAGGGCTCCTGGTTTCCTACTTTTCCCTCACCCCAATCTCAGCACCTTCAAAGTGCATTTTAATACCCAGCTCCCTCCTGTTACACTCCTGTAACTCCCCTGCTGGTTTTGTTCAGAAAACCTCCTATCTATCAAAACCTCTGGGAAGCAGTCTTAAAGTACAGATTAATAACCATAGAAATGTTTTCACCATTTCATTCTTTCTGGATTTTTTTGTCTGAATGTAATGCAGATGTTTGTCTTACACTAGGTAATTTTAAAGAAAGAGAAAGGAAAAGTACTTCATGCTTTCCTCATTGGGTCTTTTTTAGGAACTGAAAGATGATTTGAAAGGTGATCTCTCTGGCCACTTTGAGCATCTCATGGTGGCCCTCGTGACCCCACCAGCAGTGTTTGATGCAAAGCAGCTGAAGAAATCCATGAAGGTAACAACTCCAAAACCTATCACAACTGTGTCTCAATCTATTGCTATCATTGTAGTTGAATCAGTCTTGGTATGTATCTTCTTTTCCTAGAGGAAAGCCTGAAATGAAGTAGGTGCTCAATGTGTTTGCTGATAGGAAGAATGGAAAGAAAGGGGTGTGGGGCTTGAGGCATAAGCTATATGCCCATCAGAGATGGGAGATGTCTTCTTTTCTATGGAAGAGGTATGACACCCAAGAAGCAGAGATTGAAGGGCCTCCCTGGTGGTGCAGGGGTTAAAGTCTCAGTGCCAGCAACCAATTACCAGCTATTATGGCCTGAGTTTTTATCCCCAGCCAGAGAGGTGACCCACATGGCACAGTAGACCTCACCTGTCTGGCCCTCTGCTCCCCTCAGCAGTGTTTTACAGTAGATCTGCCTGTTCTGCTCCCCACTCTGTCTCTGGCCAATCCTCTTAATGCCCACACCTCTGGCCTACACCCCAGTTCATGCATAAATAAATAAAAATGAAATCCTAAAAATTGGAGAAACTATCTATGAAGGATAAGGAGGGGCAAAGCAATGTGGGTGATGTATACCTTCAGACTGCAATGCAGGTCTGATATTTCTGAAAGGAGAAAGGAAAAGAAATAGGGTTAGAGAGGAAGAACCTCAGAGTACTGTGAAGTTCAGGAAAGCCTTGGCCAAGAATGGCCAGCTCTAGTACCCCTTCTGTGCTCAGTCCTTGGCTACGAGCATGCGGGCAAGAACGTGCCCTCAAGTGTGAACTTTGTGGCAGATGCAAAGAAGTGGTGGTTGGGGACTAGCAACTGACTGTATTCCTGTCAACAGAATCTCCTGAATGAAGTCTTAGCAGTGCCTTCTATGGCTGCCCAAGGGTCAGGTTAGCAGGTATAATAGTAAAGACTAGGTTCAGTGAAAAGGATTAGAAAAAACTCTCTTACACATAAGAAATCCAAAGTAACAGCCCACAGGCGGGTATGGTGGCCCCACCATGAACAGGGGTTCAGGCTCCTTCAGTCTTGGAGCCCTGCCATCTTCAGCCTATAGAGTCCACTTCTTGACTAAAGATGGAAGCTCTGAGGCAGCTATAACATCATCTTTCCAACCAGCTAAAATGAGTAACAAGCAAAGAAGGGTTTACCCCCTCTCTTTACAGATTCTCAAATACTGTAGATGATACTTCACATGTTTCTCATTGGTCAGAACTTAGTTGTATGAATGGACTTACTTCTAAAAGAAGCTAGAAGTACACTTGTTATTTGGGTAACTATGTGCTAAGTTAAAGATTAGAGGTTCTGCTACTCAACAAGGAAGATTAAAGAGGCAGCTGTTCAATTTTGTTGTAAATATGTTAACTGCTCTAAAAAAATCTTTAAAAAAATTCACTTTTGGCCCTCCCTGGTGGCGCAGCGGGTTAAAGCACCACACTAAGAGGCTGAAGCCACTTCCTCATGAGTTCGATCCCCGCCTGCCCTGGAGGTGACCACATGGCGTGGCAGACCTCTCCTGACCCGCCCGCTGCTCCCCTCAGCAGTGTACTTCGTCGATCTGCCTGTTCTGCTCCCCACTCTGTCCCTGGTGAATCTTCTCACCCTCCGCATCTCTGGCCTGTACCCCAGTTCTATATGAATAAATAAATAAATCTTTAAAAAAAAAATTCACTTTTGAGAAGGGGTTGGGGGTCAACCTGGAATCTCTCAGGATGGACAGAACCAGCCTCACTGCATACACAGCCTTGACCTTATTTGATGTAGTCCTACTGTAATTAACTTTCTTGGAATCATAGTGTGATTCAGTGGCCTCAATATGGATCATAGTTTGGGTTAACTAGTCCCCAGATCAGCTGGGCCCCTGAGATACATTATTGAGCTTTTAAAAATCTCCCTGTGTAAAGAGAATGGAAGATGCTAACCTAATTCCAGTGCACTAGTGCAAGGACGATCTCCTCCAAAAGAATTGTAGAGCCCGTTCTAAATGTAATGATGTTTTTGTTCACGTCTGGCCTTGAATGACATGCTACTTCCCTTTGGTAATAGTTATACTGTTTCTTCCTAGGATTTTTGAGTTGCTTTTTAAACTAGGACATTTCCTTGAAAGCTTTGATGTCAACCAATTCCAGATGACTCTTGTTATTGTAATACTAAATACACCAAAAATTAGAAAATCTTTGAATAATAGATGAGCTTATGTTCAATTACTTAAAACTATTCTTTTCATCTGTTAAAACAAGCTATTAAGACTGAAATGCATGAAATTAATTTTTTAAGTGCTTTAAAAATAGGTTTTCCCTTTTCTTTTAGGGTGCTGGAACAAATGAAGCTGCATTGATTGAAATCTTAACCACCAGGACAAGCCGGCAGATGAAAGAGATTGCTCAAGCCTACTATACAGGTCATCTTATACTCCGCTTCCCTTTACCATGGCTCACATTTACAGGAGGGAATTTGCTTTTCCTACAAACCCACTGATCTGTTTCACCAGGTTCTTTGAGAAAGCTAGACTAGGCAAAGGAGATTACAGTCTAAAATGGGTTAAGAACTGTGGATTTTAGGAAAACGTTGTATATGATCTGAGCTGGAAATTGCTGTGTAACAATGGCATTAATGGGTTGCCTTTAGAACATTACAGTTATAGAACATTATAGCTATGTTGCTTTTGGCAATCACTGTTTAATTGAATCAACAACTTTCATCAGTGTGAGAGGTTCAAATCACTGTATATTAATATTGTATGTTATAAACCACGCAGATCAGCCTCATGATTTCTGGTATGGGAAATGAGATGAACCATTTACAGAATGTGCTGAGCATGTGGGTTCACTATCACTAGCTTATGTCCTAACAGTCTGTTAGCTGTGTAAAAATTAGCCACTGAAGTGCAATTCTGAACGAACCGCTAACACTAACTACCTAGGGTAGGCATAACTTCACAGACTACCTCTGACACTTCATAGACTACCTCTGACACTGCCCACAAGCTTGGCTGTTCCCATATCACATGTAGTGCTGACCAAATGGTTACAAATTTTGGGGTGCTCACTACCCTGTCAGGTTCCAATAGTAAACTAAAACAATACAGAACTCAAGAAAGCACAATATTTAAAATTACAGTTTTACTATAAAGGATACAAATCAGGATTGGTTGAGTGAAGAAATGCTTAAGAAAAAGTCTAGGAGAGTCCCATATGCAAAACTTCCAGATTGTCAGCATATAATACACTCTTAGCACATGGATGTAAAATTGTCTACCAAGGAAATACTTGCAATCTTTTGTATCCAGAATTGTAATGAGGTTTTATTGCAGAGGCAAAATTGACTGAATCATTGTCACATGATTGAACTCCCTCTCTAACCCCCCTTGTCTCACTAGAGTTAAGGCTGATATCCTGTAGCCCAGTGTCTCAAATCTTGGTCTTTTGGGTGTGACCAACCCATATTCTGGGTAATTTTTTTTAGCATAAACCCAGGTATGGGTCATGGAAACTTCTGTGAATAATAAAGGTGTTCTTATTTGGCAATCCCAAAGGTTGCCTCCTAAGAACCAAGGGCAAATACCAGTCCAATTCTCTATTATCCAATAACTAAAGCCCCCTCCCAGTACCTTACGGAGCCATGGATTTGGTGTTGTATGGCAGTGAGGTCAGTTGTGAATCAGGGAGCATCTGCTCAAAGAAGTGATATACTGGCCACAGATGGGTGTTAGAGAGGTTCTTATGGGAAATTCTTACTACAAGATAAATATCTCAATGATAGATAAGTGGTGATTTTATTGTTGATGGTGTTATTCAGTATCCAGTTAAAAAAAAAAGATTCGATATAAAGAATTGCTTATAAAGCTTTTGGAGGACTAAAAAATCAAAAATGAACACAGGGTAACAGAGGTATAACTATCAGCCCTAGAACAACAAAGGAAAGAGATTGGGGACTTCCAAAACTAGAAAAGTTAGAGAAGGGGAAACTTCCAGCAGTCTAGGTACCTCAGAGGAAAAACTTAGGAAACTGGGATTCAAATTTCTTTCAAGAAGACTCCACCTGGTTTGTGCAGGTACCCCCAAAAGGAGTACAATGTGACTGTCCAGCAGCCTGGAGCCAGCTGCTGCTGTCTGACTGAAAACCCTTCATTGGGTGACACCAACATGAATAGCACACAGATAGCATGGTCCTTCCTCCTCCTGTCTCTCAGCCTCTCTCAATCCACCCGCTTGTAGAACTTTAGAACTTAATAAGAATGGGGGTGGACCAGAGTTAAGGAGGTAGGGTAAAAGGAAACATTGAAATATAATTTGTAGCTTTCCAATCCCAACCCCACAAAGCAAGGTACACAAGGGATATTTGGAGTAGGTGAAGTAATTGCTTAAGTAATAGGCTCAGATGGGTACACTGTAGGCATTTACTCAACTAAGGGTGGGCTTTGTGCACATGAGATAGCAAGTGGGATCTTCGTCCCCAAATTCCAGGTATCAGTCTACAAACCAGGCAATGGAGGAGGAAGGAGTGAGGAGGGCTATGAGTTGTCTCTTAAGGAAAGCAGTGTCACATATGTCTGCCCACATTTCATTGCTAGAATGCAGTCATGGAGCCCTAACTCCTGAGAACACAGCCTCTAGGATGCATGCAGTATGTCTTAGTAGTGGTCAGGGCTTGCCTTCCATGGAAGAAGGGGATAATGGAAATTGGAAGGCAAAATAGGAGCTTGTCCTACCTAGTTTTGTCACAACACATTCCTTAGTGCTGTTATCAGATGAACTGGACTGTGATTTGATCCAGAACAGTCGCTTTTTCTGTGAGTATCTACTACAGCACACACTATAACAGTAGTTACAAGAAAATGTGTGCATCTCAGAATACCAAGAAGCTAAAAAATAAGGGGTGGGATTTATTTGATCAGGTACGCCTTCCTTGCCCGTGTTAATATCTAAACTTTTCTGTCTTATAATTTTTTTTTTCCTTTTTAAAGGCTTCATTTTATTCTTATCTAATTTCAGTATATAAGAAGAGTCTTGGAGATGAAATTAGTTCTGAAACATCTGGTGACTTCCGGAAAGCACTGTTAACGCTGGCAGATGTAAGGTTTACTGTTTTATTTTTCAACTCCTGAATAAGCTGGATGCTCAATAGTAATTCTTCAGGAGTTTAAAAATAATCAAACTGAGATTGTAATTTTACTTATGAAAAGATTTGTTCATTTTACATTTGCATTACTTAATGTGCAGTATAATGCCTAACCATGATCACAGACACATAATAAAATGATAGAACAAAAAAAGTCTTGTTTTGGCAGTATATGGATTAAAAGTGTTTGATCAAATTTCATAATACATTCGAAATGTTATAATTCTTACATAGTTGTGCATTAATAAGTGTCTCCATTTTTCAGAACACATTTATTTTCTTTAAACCCCAAAGAATAAATATTTCTTTTGTTAGCATTTCTATTATATAGGAAGCATTGCACATGAGAATTATTTTCAGAAATAGGTATTTTGGTCTCAGAATTAAAACAAAAATTCTTTGCTGCAGCTTCCTTTTTGCTACCTTTGGGAAAGATGCTAAATCACTCATCACCATGTAACCAAATACAACCACCCTTTACTGTCTCTTTTTAGGAGGCTCATTGTTTTATAATAAAGTGGTGAAATCAAAGATGAGAAATAATCACAATTGTACTTAAGAGAGGAGATGATTTAGCCATAAGTTACTGGCCTCTTTCACTAATTTATACAACTCTTAATATCTGAGTAAATTCTGGACTTCCCTGGTGGTGCAAGCTGTTAAGTCTCAGCATTGTGAAGCTATCAGCAGGCACTGCAGCATGAGCTCCATCCCTGACCAGAGAGATGACCCACATAGTGGAGAAGACCTCTCCTGTCCTGCCCATTGCTCCCCTGAGGAGAGTATTTCAGTTGATCTGCCTGTTCTGTTCCTTTCTATGTGTCTAGTAAATCCTCTCACCACCCCCACTCCTCATACCTCTGGCCTATACCCCAGCTCTTGTATGCATAAATAAAATAAATATAAAAAAAATTATGAGAAATTCCAACAATGGTCTTAGCCTGAAGTTGAAATACCAATTGTCAAAGTGAGGCACTATTATTTCATTAGGAAGAAAATGATCCCCAATTATGATATCAAAGGTTTGTTTTAAATAGTGAGTACTTTATAAAGTTGCAACTGCAACCCAAAATTTATGAGGTATTGCTGCAAATATATTCTCCCAGAAGTCTACATTCCTCAGTCCACACTCGGTTGCCATAGGACATACTAAAACTATAGGACATAGTAAAACTACAGGGTGGAATCTTAGGGTCACACAGACCTGGCATCTCACCCTATTCTGCTGCCTGTGATATTTATGAATTTAGGCCAGTTACATTAAGCCTTAAGACCTTCACTTTCACATCTGTAAAATTAAAATAATGATAGTACCAGCCTCATAGGAGATTGAAAGAGAATGAAAGAGAAAGTCACTGAGCTATAAAAAGTGATCAATGCATGCTAGTAGTGACTTGTTATTATTAATTCCAATGATAACACTTTGATTATTGCAGTAGAGTGTGGACTGAAATAGAATAAGACAAACTAGCAGGAGCAGGGTGTCCGCAGCTGAAAAGAAACAAGTAAAAGAACTTCACAGTCATCACACAGGAACAATTTATCTTTTAATTTTGTTGCCAACGTCTTATTCACCTATACTTTTCAGAACAGTCCAGGCAATCCTCTTTTCCTTTTCTGTCTGCTTTTTATACTGTAGCTGTACCACAAGCACACATGGACACTTAACCACCATCTTCAACATCAGAGTGTAATATGTTTGCAACAGATGATAAATGAATACTGACCCATTATTATTAACTAAAGTCCCTGGGGCACATGATGTTTCATTCTCTGTGGTGCATAATGTATGGATTTTGAAATATATATAATGTCATGTATCTGTAACTATAGTATCATCTGAAAAAGTTGTACTGCCCTACAAATCCTCAGGATCCAACTACTAGTCCTTCTCTCCTCACTCTGGACCCCTGGCAACCTCTGATATTTTCACTCTCTATAATTTTGCCATTTCTAGTCAGGGTAGAGAGGAATCTAACAGTATGTAGTCTTGTCAGACTGGCTTCTTACACTGAATAATAGGCAAACTGTTTTTTCCTGTCTTGGTAGCTCATTTCCTTCTTATTACTGAGTCCTGTTCCATTCCATTATATGAGTATATTATAATTTGTTTCACCTGTTGAAAGACATCTTGGTTGCTTCCAAATTTTGGCACTAATGAATGAAAAATTCTATAAACATTCATGTGCAAGTTTATGTTCACATAAGTTTTTTGTTGTTGTTGTTAAAGATTTATTTATTTATGCATATAAGAACAGGGGTACAGGCCAGGGGGTGAGAGGATTCACCAGAGACAGAATGGGAGCACAAAAGGCAGATTGATGAAGTACACTGCTGAGAGTAGCAGTGAGCGAGACAGGAAAGGTGTGCTGTGCCATGTGGGTCGTCAGCCTTCCAGCTGGGGGTCAAACCCATGCTGCAGATAACTTCATAGTGCTTGTGCTTTAACCCCTTTATGCCACCAGGGAGACCCTGGTCCACGTAAGTTTTTAACTCATTTGAGTAATTGTAAAGGAGCTCTATTACTGGATGTTCTGATATAAGGACTTCCCAGCTATCTTCCAAAGTGACTGTACCATTTTGTAAATAATGGTAGGAACAGTCCAGTTGCTCCACATCTTTGCTGACATTTGGCATTGTCAATATTTTAGCTTTTGCCCATGTTAATAAGTGTGTAGTAGTATCTTATTATTATTTAATTTTCAATTCCCTAGTGATGTACAATTTGAAATCTTTTCATTTGCTTTCTTCTAATCTATACGTCTGCTATCTACTCAGACTTTGCCCATTTTTATTTGGGATGTTGAGTTTTAAGAATTCTTTATGCATTTTTGGGTTCAAGTCCTGTATCACACAGATATTTGCAAATATCTTCTAGTCTGTGTCTTTTGTGTGTGTGTGTGTGTGTGTGTTGTGTTTTCAGAGGAGTAAACTGAGGCTCAAAGAGTTACATGACTTGCTCATGATTCTGTGGCCAGTGGCAGAGCCAGAATGAGATCCCCAGAGCCTGACTGCCCTGTACCATCTGGTCACTGCTGGAGAAAAACCTCTAACCTTTGGAGTGTTGCTTTCTTCTCTCTTTAAAAGGATTGCTCTTGTTTTCATTTTCTCTGTTTAGGGCCGGAGAGATGAAAGTCTAAAAATAGATGCACATCTGGCCAGGAAGGATGCCCAGGTCAGTAGCAGCAAGGCAACATCTCTTTCACTATTCTTCCCGGGGCTGTCTTTTCACTCCTGTGGCCCCACTGGGGCTGTCCTCTCCTGTCCGGTGGAGATGGTAAACACTGGGCACCAGTCTACTCCCGTCTTTTGCTTTTCCCAGTGATGGTTATTACTCCCTAGTTCCTGCCACCCCAATTCTCAGATTTCTTCTCAGAGCCAGAAGTGATAGACTTGGATAATCAGCATTCTCACTGATCTCTAAAATAAACCCCTCACAATTTTCACTCCAAAAGAATTGTTTCTATAATAACATTTATGTCTCTCTGCCTTATCCAATAGATTCTGTATAATGCTGGTGAGAACAAATGGGGCACAGATGAAGATAAATTCACGGAGATTCTGTGTTTAAGGAGCTTTCCTCAACTGAAATTAAGTATGGACTCACTTTGAAATCTTTTTTGCATCATTTTTTCACAAATGTTTAGAGGTATAATATAACAATCTGGAAAAATGAAATTTTAAATTACAAAGACAATTTTTTTAAATATAATAGTTTATTTTTACATCATTTTGTACTTTTTTTTTTTCATCTCAATTGTAATCCCCATGGGTTTCCCATCACTGAGTCACCCATGTGCCATCACCATAGTGCAAAAGACAATTTTTTTTATGTATTAACATTTCAAGAAACACTATGGAAGCTGTGCTCCAATTCAAGGCAGAATTGACTACTCTGGTTTTCCTCTATTGCCAAGTAGATCACCAAGAGAAGGGCAGGGTTGGGAGGGAGAAACAAGTAGCCCTCTAAGAGAACTGTGTTTCCATGAGATGGAGAGCCTGATAGCAGTTCTACCATATCCCTTCCCTAGTTACCCACTTTCCAGAAAAAAAAAAAAAATTGTCAGGGAGTCTGTTATTGCAGTACTACAGATTAGCATTAAACTCTTTCTGATATGAAAGTAAATGGGGGTAGGGGGAGGGTGCAATTCTTTTTGTCAGACCAACCTGACACTGCTAAGCACATATCCCCCCCCCCTTTTTTTTTTTTTTGAAGATTTATTTATTTATGCATTCAGAACTGGGGTACAGGCCAGAGGTGTGGTGGGTGAGAGGATTTACCAGAGGTAGAGTGGGGAGCAGAACAGAGATGTACTGAAGTATACTGCTGAGGGGAGCAGCGGGTGGGTCAGGAGAGGTCTGCCAGGCCATGTAGTTCAGTTCTCTGGCGGGGGATTGAACTCGTGCTGCCGTGGCTTTGGAGAGCTTCAGAATGTGGTGCTTTAACCTGCTGGGCCACCAGGGAGAGCTCACATATCCCCTTGTTTATGCACCTTCCTGATCTAGCAGGAACCTCGCCTTCCACTTCCTGTGAGTGTAGGGACACAGCTTCCGGCGCTGGTTTACAGAAGACAATTGTCTGAGCTTACCCTGAGTTCATGGCAACGTGAGGAAACATAAGATTTTAGGGTGACTATAATTACTCGTTGCTCTTCCTTAATATTAACGTTACTATTTTATTTTATAAAGAGAATGGTAATGTTATATTGTAGTTGTTTTATTTATATCTTTTCTTGAACAATAAGACCCAAACAATCCTACATCTTTCTCCATCAACAATTCATTTTTTAAAATTTACTTGGCTTGCAAAATATGCCTACATAATTGGTGACATATGTACAGATTTTGCTTTGGGATAAATACTGATCAAGAAATTCAAATGCCTTCTGGTGCATGAGAAGTAGAGTGTGCTGCCTCAGAGAATGATGTACTCAGCACAAAAAAAAATCATTATAATTAAGATTTCTCTAACAGACAAAACATATTTACAAGTAATTTTAAGATGGTCCACCTCACTGGATAAATTGTTTATCATTTAGCCTTTCACCCTATTTTAAATGCTGACAGCTTGGCATAGTTGGGAAGAAGGGCAGAGAGAAAGATATCATTGATGAAAATGGCCTATGAAGTTCAAATTTTATTGTAGATTTTTTTCTTTAGAAGAAGCAAAAACTAAAACATCTTTCATGCTCAAATTTCTATGGTTGAAAGCATTTTGAATTTTCTGTTTAAGAATTTGGTCTGCTCTGTGTTATTAAAAAAGCTACAATATATTCATGTGGACAACTGGGATGTTTTAAATGTTTTTTATTGATGTTCTTTTTAGCATTTGATGAATACAAAAATATTAGTCAGAAGGACATTGAGGACAGCATAAAAGGAGAATTATCTGGGCACTTTGAAGACTTACTGCTGGCCATAGGTAAGTGTTTGAGTGCTCATAAACTGGGTTCCTTTGTATTTGTTCTAACTCAATGTCAAGGTTAGATCCTTTCATTTAAAAATCCTAAGTGATCCATCTCTGTGCTCCCCAAATTTCCCATCACAGTGCCAATGGAACACTCAACATCTTTAACAAATGTTGTTGATGGATGCATGAAGAAGTTGTCCTTTTACGTTCTTAACTTTGCTATTATTTTTTATTTGGCTTACCACTGTGTTTGGCATAGAAAGTCTTTGACAAATGAAACTATTACATTTCTACTGGCATTTTTATTGAGTTTGTTGAACACTGAGACCTAAGCCAATTTGGCAATTCATCAATTAGAAGCTCACAGTGACTTCATGACACTGAGGCCAGTTGCAATTCTAAGTTTCCTCACATGTGCCCATACTAGCAAATAGATCAAAGAGAAAGTCACAGTGAATCCATTTCCAGAGAGTCAGGAGAGTTAACAAATGGACAAAACAACTGCTATGTAAGACTTCTCAATGATGTCTTGACGTACTACCCTTTCAGTCACCTAGAGAATAACTTTCCAAAAAGCTGCATTCAGAGCAGCAGTGAGATGCAATTCAAAGACAGGGTTTTGTTACCTTTCTGGTCAGAGGCAGGCAACAAAATCTGTGAGTGCTTGTATACACGGGATTGTTCAAAGTCCTAAGCGACTCCACGTCAGAATGGCATGCAGGCCTGTGGCAGGCTTTTTTCACCATTAATGCCAGGGTAGGAACACTTGCACTCCACACAGCTTGTCTTTCACCATTGAAAAACCATTTCTAACATCCATTATGATAATTAATAACTGATATCTTAGGTTAATCTCTGGAGTGGGCCTCTGATTCATCTTTCAAATGTTAATTGCCATCTCTGGAGGGTGATCTCCCAATTAGGATAAGTACAACTGAATTTAAAATAAACACTTATCTGTCATTATGTTGTAAACTCTTAAAATAGCATTCAGGGACCTCCTTGGTGACACAAGGGTTAAAAGTAAGCACTATCAAGCTATCAGCAGCCACTGCAGCATGAGTTCCATCCCAGGCCAGGGAGCTGACCAACATGGTGCAACAGACCTCTCCTGTCTCACCTGCAGTTGCCCCTAGCAGTGTATTTCAGTAGATCTGCCTGTTCTGCTCCCAACTTTATCTCTGGTGAATCCTCTCACCCCTCCCCCTACACACACCTCTGGCCTACACTTCCATTCTTGTATGAATAAATAAAAAATAAGTTTTTTTTCTTAATTCATTGACTTTATTTTTTTTAAGATTTATTTATTCATGCAGACATAACTGGGGTACAGGCCAGAGGTGCAGGGGCTTGTGAGAGGATTCACCAGAGACAGAGTGGGGAGCAGAACATGCAGATTGATGAAATATACTGCTGAGGGGGGAGCAGTGGGTGAGACAGGAGAGGTCTGCCATGCCAAGTGGATCACCTCTGGGGCCGGGGATCAAACTCACACTGAGATGACTGTCGCTGGCTTGCAATGCTGTGCTTTAACCCACTGCACCACCAGAGAGGGCCCTAAAAATAAATCATTAAAAAAGAAAGGTAAACTCCTTCCCCAGGTTACCCAGGAAGTATGTATAGATCTGGGCTTCTAACCTAGGCAGTCAGGCTGTCATTCTGTGTTGTTTGCCAAACCCTCTGGTGTACTGCAATGTAGACATAGAGTGAAGTACCTATACACCAGAAAATTACAGAAAATATGCCAGGGAGCCAGCTCGCTGTCTAGGCCCCATGCTTGGTCTTTCTCCAGGTATTTTATTTCATTTAATTTCTGATCCTCTTTTTATTGCCAAGAATAGGGCTCTTAATCCAGATGCTATTCAGAAACATTGTTGACTTTGACTAGGTTGCTAAATAATAGACCAAGAGAGAAAAAGCTGCTTTTTTAATAAATGAAATAGTCAATCTTCATAATTAGTTCTGAGAATCCAGTGGTGATAATACAGCTTGTAAAGTTTTTCACTATTCCAGTTTTCATATTGTTCATCTGCACATCAGTTTGGCTACAGATTCCTTTGTAATCTTTGGAAAACTTTATTGGACTGTATAAATTCTCACTCAGTGAGTTAAGAGATAGTCTTGAAAATATACATAGAACTATGCATTAAATTTGGACTGTAATGTACATTATTTTAGCAAGTAAAAGAAAGAGTTTAAAATTTAAAGTTAAGATATATCCCATTTATTTTGTATTTTATTGTCTTTTCTATTTCCGTTTTTTGTTTCTTTCATTTTCTATTTTTCTTGCTGTTGAAATAAAATGTATTATATATACATGTATTATATATATATGTATATATATACATATAAAATAGTTTATAAAATTGTTTATTTTTACATCATTTTGTGCCTTCTCATCCAGTTGTAATCCCCTCGGGCCACCACCAGATCACCAAATCACCCATGTGCCATAACCAGACTGTAGTGTATTTCCTTCCCCCCACTGTTTTTGATCCCATTCCCCACACCACTCCCATAAAATGCCTCTAGCACATAGCTGTTCATTATTATT